GCGGTACATGTATTCCGTTACTCCCCAACACTGTCTATAGATATATGCAAAGGCTGGGGGTGTGTCAGCTGCTCGGTCACCCTACTTTTCCACACAACACTCGATGTGTCAAGTGTAGTGTCTGTTTCCATCCCTGGAGACTTCTTTTTTTTAAAAATCCCCCACAGTCTCCTCCTCTTTCGTCTCTCTGGCGGAGACTTCCCAGAAGTGTGCTGCCTCATAGCACCCTCTCTTTTTGGCCGAGTAAGTACCGAGTGTCATATAATAATGTACTAATGACTACTAAATACTCTGGGGCAAGAACATCAACATGTTGATGAGCATCCCAGCTGGTGCGATCTCATTGCAAGGCGCCATATCGTTAATCACATATTTATTTGTGTTTAGTGTCAGTGGGTATGGATGTTTGACTGGCTGCAGAGATAACAAAAGGCCAACACTGTTGCAATGCTTATCTTCCTGTTTTTAGACTTCATCAGGTTCTGTGTTAGTACCAGCAGACACTGCACATGCCTGGGATTAATAACTGTAATAACTGCAAACCAATTACTTCAGTAAATGTAGACAATCATCAGTTTTAAATAGACACACAATATTCACGGAGCACACAGCTTTTCTAATTGAAGGAATTAGATGGTCCATGGACGCATTTTCAACTGTCCAGTTAACTCCTACAATAACAAAGAAACACATACAGTGTGGTGCAGTGAGATATTTCTCTAGATTTTAACATATTTAGTCAAGATGCAGATGCAGCTGATCATTTTGCTGATCTTAATTGATTTATTTGGAGACCTAGTGTATAACTAAAGAATAACCTACTTTGAGCTGTATATGTGACTAATTTTAGCCCAGGTGATATGTGCCCTATCCACCTGAGCATCAGCTCTGCACAACATAGTGCATTTAAAAAACATACACACACGTGTTATGTACAAGAACACAATATGTGCCACTGTATCCAGCATATATTTACATGTATATAAACATGCAAACAGAAACAACCATAAAAAATATATATGCATACAACACATTTACATGCGCAGACATGCACAGGATCTGTGAGTGTTGGTCTCACCATGTGAATGAGGTGTGTGCTGAGTTGGCTCAGGGGTCTGTTGGCTAGGAGCAGCTTCTCTGCTGCCTCCGTCTCTGCTGCTGGACAAGATAGCCTCTGGCTCTATACACACGTGCAAAGACACACACACACACACACACACACACACACACACAGGCGCGCACACACACATACACACACATTAAATCATTTATAGAGATTTGACAGTCAATAACGATGGATCCAGGGACCTGCCAAGACTTATTCTGACAAACTGAGACATACACAGAAAGACACCCTGATAGATGAAGACAGGGAATTGTTTTTTTTCTACATATTATGTTATTCTAAACCTTCTTTAAGTTCTCAGGATAACATAAGCTGAACATTTTTTTGTCACAAAGTTATTTTTGCATCTCATTCTTAAGGCGTCATCTCTTTTGCCCCTCATTATTAGCACCTCTATGACTTACTTTGGCTTATTTTACTTCACTTCCTGCCTGTAGTGGAACTTCAGGCCAATTAGTGATGGGCTAATGTGATTAATAACAGCACATATTTTGTCTCTTTCCCAAAGTCTCTGCTGCGCTTGTCCTATTTTTTCCTTCTGTAGTGTACTGTATATAATCTCTGACATGCTCCCTCTTGACCAACTGAGTAATATTTTGAGAAAAGCGGTCTAGTCACGTCCTTTCTCCTTATCAGAACCTTATTACCCAAATGAATTTGGTTTGGGCAGAAGTTTTCTTTTTAATGAGCTTTGCATTTCTCGCAGAATTGATTTCCGCTGCAGATTCTGCTTGTTGCCTTTTCCATCTCAGTCTCTCCTATCTCTCCACCCATCCTTCTCTTTTTTTCCTGTCCTCTCTTTCACCCAGTCTTTTACCCTGCCTTCACTTTAGTCCCCCCACCCCCTGTCCGGGCATTAATATGTATGTGCTGGGCTGGGGTGCACACTATGGGGAGATGGGGGCTGATGTGTGTGTGCCAATCCGAGAGTGTGAGTGTGTGCGCGTGGATGTGTATGTAGTGAGGCAAGCTAAGGACAAAGCCAGCGGTGATAATGAGGCCGCAGGGACATAGCCAGACAGGCCCCTCTGTGTATGCTTGTGTGTGTGTGTGTGTGTGTGTGTGTGCGTGCGTCCCAGGGATTCAGGACTTCATACCCTTTCTCCTGAGTCCACAACTTCAATATTGCAGTTGCTTAAACCTGCTAGCTTTCACTGTATACTTCAAGGGGCACACACACTCAAACACACACAGACACATGCCTTCAGGGACGTGATACAAGGGCAACATTTTGAGGAAGTACACTTTGTGATTCTGTTGGTGAATCCGCACTCACCAAAGATGAAGTTGGCAAAAAGTGGTGAATCACTGTAGGACATACATGAGCCTAAAAGGACCAATTTCACAAGATGAAGCCAAGAGAAACTAACAAATAACAATAATTTAGTATTATTTTCTAAATTAAGGCTTGTGGCTCTTTAAGGATGTCTTTGCAAGGACCGTTGAGCGTTTTAAAGTGTGTGATACTGAAATTATGCCTGGATTCCTTAATATGTAGTTTTCTTTAAGTTTCTTTTAGGGGAATGGGCCCATAAAAATATCAAAAAACACACTTTATTTAAATTTGAATGATCTCCCTTTCATGATCTCCTTCTCTGGTATGCTCACACAGTTTCTAGTTTGGCTGCTATTTCAGTTAAACTCCTGTTATTTCCTCTTGTACTTGCACCTCTGCAGTGTGCGCACCGGATCTCTTCCGGTGTGACTCTTTAACTGAAAACTGCTGGGTTGTAGGTGGACAACTAGCTCACATCACTAGCGATGATCTTTCAGACATGGCAGTTCTTGTTTGCTCTCTGTGCATCTTTGAGGACCATGATGAAATCACAAAGGGACATCAGTCAGCTGTAAAGTTTGTGTTCATCAGGTGTGTCTGAGTGTTCATACCTGCAGGGCAGAGCGGACAACAACTGATGTTTGCTTAAGGACGTTGTGAAGCAGTTCCAACAGAGCTTGTAGCACAACGTGGCCGACCTTCCTTCCAGCATGCTCCTCTCTATCTAGATGAGCAAGCGCAGCTTCTGAGAGGGTACAAACCACCACCTCAATAAGCCCTGTGTATTCAAGAAAAGTGGAGAAGATTGTATCTGAACTATGATTTCTTAGTTTTCTTGGGTTACTTGGTAACTTGTATCTTTGCAGAGCTTTGGATATGCCCAGTGCATTCTGGGAACTTGTCAGCCTATATAAATTGTTAACCTATTAAGCCATGAACATAAAAAATAAGGATAATAATATAAGAGAACCTAATTAATTAAGGACGGCTTTGTCACTTTAACTGCCAAAAATCTTTAGTTTAATACAAATTGTATCAATTAATATATTCTATATGTTATAATGATCTATATATTAGATGTTTGTCTTTTTGAGGGGCCCTGTGTTCACGATACATTTTATTAAACAAAGAGAAACAAAACGCAATTCACGCACATTACCGCAATTACATTATTACATTCACAAGAACATCTTTAAGTTCATGTGAACCAAAAATGTTTCTATAGCTGGAAAAAAATTAGACTATACCCATAAATATCTGTAACTTCAGGCTCTGATTCAGCTACAGAGCAGATTGATTGCCTATATGCAAGCTTAATTCAATTAACATTTTGTTATTACCAATCTGCACATCAGAGCAAACTGTTTGAATACGACACTGAACTGTGCAGGGTTACAGTCCCTTAATGAGAAAGTACATAAGGGCAGCAGAGGCAGCAAGACAACTCACTACACACTCATCCAAAAACTCATTCTTATCTTTTTTTGTCTGTTCTCTCACCTCACTCAGTCTCTCCCTACACAACTGTCCAATGTACAACATGAGGTTGTTACCTCTTGCAAAGCTATGAATAGCACCTACTAAAGTGCAAACCCATGTTATATCACTATTAAATTTAAAGTGACACAGAGGATAGTCACAGTGAAGACATGACACATGCAGTGCCCATAAATATAACAATACCTAGACAATCAATACGCCCAGATTTGTCCTTCATTTCTACTTCTGTGCACAAAAACTTAGTTATATAACCATGTGTATTAAATCATAGTCTTCACTAGGGAAAATACACCCAGTTTTGTTTTCGTCTTCCAACAGATCTTTATTTAGACTGTGGATGTCGTGTGTTTATTTTTGAGAGTGAAAGTGCAACACTGCAGACACTAGAAAGCCATTAAGTTTGCCTGCTGTCAGCGAGATGTACTGTTACACTGTCAAACAGTCTCATAATTAATTAGACAAGCTGCTCTACTTTTGACTGTTCAATCAAAAAAGACTTGTCCTGTTAATGCAACTTGACAACACAGTCCCACTTAGATAGTTTTTGTGTATTATGCTGCTGATACTTGCTGATCATTACTACTCACCAAGTGTGCTCTTTTTAAACAAGACAAGCTTCTGTAAATGACTCCTTAATTACACTAAAATGACCTTAACAGAAGCTTTTTAAGGGTGGACAAAGGTGGAAAAGTTACAAAAGCATATGCAAAGGTATGCATCAGCTGGCACTAAAACAAGCTGTCTACAAACTGAGTAAATGGACAGTCTGTAAATATCACACCAATACCGCAACTACTGACTGACAGCAAAACACCCGCAGAAAGCTTTACACCTTGCTTAATCTTTGTGTTGTGTGTCAATGAAAAACACTGACTAGAAATGGTGTTAATGGAAGGTCACAAAGGCTGTCCAACAATAAATAAATAAAGCAGCACATTTCCAGTTTGCTTGTGGGACAAATATTTCCTGGACAGATGAGACAAAATTGGAACTTTCTGGCAAAAATCCACATAGCTATGTTTGGCCTCGGGGCCTGATGGAGGGACTGATTAATTCAAAATTGTATCTTGAACTTTTAAAAGCACAATTCAGGGCAACAGTTCATGACCTGAAGTTTAGGAGAGCCTGGGTGATACAAGAAGACACTGACCCAAATCACACTAGTAAATAAACAACAGAATGGATGAAAGAGAATGAAAATTCATGTTTTGGGATGGCCAAGTCAGAGTGCTGACCTTAACAAGTGAGATGTTGTGGCACAATGAGGACAGAGCTGTTCATTGAAGACATCCTAGAAATATGGATAAACTAAAATAGTTTTGTAGGAGGAATGGTCCAAAACTTTCTCCACATTGTACAAGTCTAATGAGCCGCATCTGCCATTGATGCATATTTATAAAGCCTAATGTAAGTGTTTACAAATGGTTATGGTTTCATAAATTCTTCTTCTTTCCTGGGGGCCTTATGACATTTTACATCAAGGTCAAGAGAAGGTGTTAAGAAAAAGATATGGGATGCAATAGTTTGCATATTTAACCCTAACCCTTAAAGACAAACCTTCACCCCTACTTAACACTGCTTCTGCTATGGCTCGCTGCTTCTTGTCCATCCAACCAACCATGCTTCCACCATCGCCTGCCCTTCACTCCATCTGTTCAGCCCTTATCCTCAGTCATCCTGAGTCCTACAGCTGGCTCTTCCAAGCATCACATCTGTTCTTTGTTATAAAGTTATGTTCTTGTGTCAAAATTCACATTAAAATTAAACTGAGAAAAAAGTAATGGTAGCACCTACAGTCTTCGTGCAGAGGCAACTTTAACACAATCCATTCTTTTTAGGGGCTCAAAAGTAATTGGACAAAGAACTGAAAATAAAATCTTTCACTAGTAAAAATCATTAGTAAAATCAATAATTTCTAATACTTATTTGAAAACCCTTTGCCGGCAATGACAGCCTGAAGTCTTGAACTCATGGGCATCACCAGTTGCTGGGTTTCCTCCTTTTCATTCTGGAAGAGGTTGTTCCTGGTTTCATCTGTCCAAAGGATGTTTTTCCAGACCTGTGTTGTTCTTTAGGCTTATGAGTGGCTTGCATCTTGCAATGAACCCTCTGTATTTACTTTCATGCAGTCTTCTCTTTATTATAGACCTGGATATTGATATGCCTACCTCCTGGAAAGTGTTGTTCACCTGGTTGGCTGTTGTGAAGGGCTCTCTTCACCATGGATAATGGTGGTTTTCTTCTGTTTCTGCAGCGTAAGGATCACTTGTTTCACCTGCTTTCCATGCAGGTGAAACAAGTGATCCTTGTTTCAACCACATGTTGTCTGTTCACAGCAAAATCTTCCAAAATGCAAGCACCACACATCAAATCAACTCCTTTTATCTGCTTAATTGGTAATGACAAAATGAAGGAATTGCCAACACCTGCCCATGAAATTGCCTTTGAGTCAAAGCCATTTCATGGCCAATTACTTGTGGTCCTTTTAAAAAAAGGGCGGCTGAAACTTCTATACCCTTCCTCAAATTTAAATGAAGACAACCTCAAATGAAAGCTCTACACATTATATCCACTTATATAACTTCTGTTAAGGTCATTATATAACTATAAATATGTTTCTGTAAACAGGTAGAAAAACAAAACGTGTCCGTGTCCAAATATATGGACCTAACTATAAGACGATGTTTTTCTGCTTATAGAATGTGGTGTATAATAGTATAGTATACCACACAAACATCTATCGTATTTTCTGCACTAAAAGGCGCACTTAAAATCCTTTAATTTTCACAAAAATTGACAGTGCGCCTTATAATCCGGTGCGTGTTATGTATGAATTCTGGTTGTTCTTACTGACCTCAAACCGATTTTATGTGGTATATGGCACTCAGAAATCTGTCAAAAAATGTTTTAGTACGTCTTTGGTAAGCTACGAAGCCAGACTGCTTGATGGATTGTCGGAGCATTACGGCTACCGTAGTCAGGAGCCTTGCAGAGTAATCTGAGTCCAAAACTCCGCCCACTTCAGGTCCAAAAAACTGCGGCATCACTGAGAGTTAAAAACTGTCTAAATTCTTTCATCTTTAATAAAATGATCAGTGTTGCTGCTTTATGAGGTGTAACAATTAAGTTTAATATGTAAGATGTTAAGATGTACTGTACATATAATTAATAAATAATATTTTAGCTGATTTTAATTCTGTGTACCATAACTCATAAATGTGACATTTCCTATGATAACAGACCTTTGGACCACACAATGTTTATGCTTCCAAATCTTCCATGTCTAAGTTTCAAATATAACCTGCCCGATATGCCTTTTCTGCCTGAGTACCCCTAATGTTAATGTGAACTGACTTTAGCGAACCAACATATAGTTAATGATGTGTTATTTATGTCAGTTAGCTACCAAGTCTGTTGTCTAAATTTATAGCCTTCTCAAGGTGGCTGCAGACCCAAACAGTTGATTTTTTTCTTTTTGATCTGTAGAGACATGCATGGTAATCTTTTCTATTTTTCTGGGTCTGTAGAGACTCTGAAGACATGTAACTTTATGCAAAGACAATGAAACATTGAAATACTGCACCCTTAATTAACAAAGACAGATTTTTATGGTATAAATTATGCTTGGGGGGCATTATTTTTGACTGGACACATATGGACACAGTGTGAACTATATTAGAGAATGCATTTGGGAAATTATGCTGAAACCAATTTGAAACGGGAATTTATAAATGCAAATTGAAAGAAACTAGATAACATCGGAGCAGAAAAGATTTTCTGAAATATCTCAGTTTCTTACAAGGGTCAAGAGAAATAATGAAAAATGAAGTGTGATTGATTTAACCTTGAGAGGCATCACAGTGACTGTCAAGAACTCTGAAGACAAACAGAGCCCCTGAGGAGCTCTTTAATTAATTAAAAGGATAAGCACACTTTAACTGACACTCGGCCCAGGACCAAACTCAAGGTTCACTCAAGGTGCAAACATTTCTGAAGTGTTGGGCTGAATTTCTGAGCTTGACATGCTCTAGATGTGACCATTTTCTTATTAAATAACAGCCTGCATGCCAGTGTGCCTGCAAAATTGGTCTCAAATTTATTCTCGGCAGAGAAGCCCTAGGCTTTATATCCGTGTATGATCAGATTAGAGCCTAAACTTTCTTCCTTAGTCTGCTGCATGTTTTCAAATTAAAGCCGATCATCCATTATCACCTAAAATATTTACTCTTTTTAGAAATCTCACACTAAGGCATCAAGTTATTCTTCCCTCTTACATCCCAAAATCTCTTCTGCTATCAAACTGTCACTCATCTTAACCTCCAATTTTCTCCTCTAGTGTGTTATCCCTTGCTGTCTCCAACCCAGATTCAACACATTCTCGCTCTCTGTGTGTCCCATGCTTCCCTCTCTCACCTTCATGCTACTCTTTTTACCTCCTATTTTGCTTTTCTGCCTCCGTCATTTTCCATCCCTTTTCTCTTTCATGCTTTTGTGCCATCTTCTTTTTTTCCTCCGTTGTTCTGTTCTTCCTCCCTATCTCTGTTTCTCTCCCTCTTTGCTTCCTCTGTCTTCATTCCCCAGGGGGTATTATCTCAGTCGGAGGCAAATCTGCCCAATTATAAACCTCATCTCCCCAACTCTCTCTCTCTTATGCACACAAATATGAGGTTTTCCTGCATTCACTGCTGCACACACACCCTCTTCTCACAGATACACAGAAGCAGAAGCACAAATACAGTTACACAGGCACAAAAAACCCACCTCCCTATTTTTCTCTTCTTCACTGTCTATTTCACTGCCTCCTAACACACACACACACACACACACACACACACACACACACACACACACACACACACACAGACATGAACAAGAACACCACCCTTCCCCTCCTCGCTCTGTCACACCTTAAAAACCCAATTATACACGCTTCCTCCCTTTTCCTCTTCTTTCCTTCTCTCCCTTTCCCTTCGTTCTTGCCATCACCACACTCATCTGGAGGGACCACAAGGAAAACAAGGGAGAAAGACGAGAAGGCAGAACAGGAGCCCAAAATAGAGGAGATGGGAGAGGGTAAAACTGGGAACAGACGCGAGGAAGGAAAGGAGATGAGGGGCCAAGATGTGAGCTGAGTAGATTGGAAAAGTGGCTGATAGCACGAGACAAAAAGGAGAGGAGGGAGGAGAACAAGAGGAGAGGAGTGGAGATAGCGTTAATTGCCAGGCCAGTATTAGTGCTGGGTTGACAAATTCTTGTTGAGAGAGGTGCTGATTGGATGATAATGATGCTGACTTCAAGACTGCTGCATTGCTGACCCAATGGAAACAGAGGGAGAGGAGGAGTTAGTATGCAAGTATATAAAGATGGACAAAATGAAACAGAATGATGAGTGAATAAAAAAGAAAGAAAGAAATGAACACAGTCCTCAAATAGAAACTTGAGAAAATGTGTGTTATTGTGGTGTTGCAATCACACTGTTGAACTGTGGGTCCCGAAACATTTACTTACACACACACACACACACACACACACACACACACACACACACACACACACACACACACACACACACACTCTGGGCAGGCATCCACAGTGTACCAAAGCTTTGTGCCTCACTATTGCTTCCTCCTAATTAAAGTCCTAATCCCTAACACACTCTTCATGGCCAGAATAGGCCTAAACTAGACTTCTGAAAAATGTCCTCACACCAAGAGAACAAAAAACATAAATTTGACTTCTCCCTAAGGATCCCCTGGAATCACTTGCAATTGACAGGAAAATCTCAGATTATTCACAGTAGCTGAGAGACAAAAAGCATGGCCTCCGCCTCAGGCACACACAGCCAAGGTTGCTGACCTGAATAAGCATTACACTACAGTGTGGTCGGGTATCAATGATGTCAACAAGTAACATAACAATCACTAATGTGAGCAGAACAGATGCCTTTCGATGACTAAGTGTCCTTGATAATAGTACATGTGTTGCAACACAATGCAGGAAAATATAAGAAGAATTTAGTACCTTTTAAAGGAGAGAAAATGTAGATCTTTCTCTCCATGAGGAATTCAGACACACTCTACCTTGTTGATACAGTGGTTGCTGATCCTGGATTGTGCCCTCACTAAGATTGCAGAGCAAAACAACTGCGTTTTGGACTATCCCACTGATAACGTTACTTCTATTGGCCTAGAAAAACATGAGACAGACACAGGATAAGTAAATTACAGGTTTGCTTATAACATTTCACAATTAACCCAAAACAGCTAATATCTAACATGGTTTTGTTATCATTTTGTTATTTATACTGCATATACTGTCTTGAGAACACAGTTAATTATTTAATAAAGTAGTGGATTGTTTTATTAAAAAAGGCACCTTTATTTATTTGTTTTTAAAGACTGAAAGTGTAATCTTCACCTCCCTCTTACCCATCCTATTTACTCCTCTTACTTCATCTTTCTCCTCTTTTCAAAATATTCTCTCCTCCCTCCTACAGTTATTCACTTCTCCTTCCCCCTTCTGCCCCCACTTCACTATTTGATCCTCTCTGAGATACACCAGCTCTGCCTGCAGGGTTGGTGCACATCGGTGTGATCTGTGTACGTGGTGATTAGTCTGGCTAGTACTCATCATGTGCAATTGCCTGCGGCTGGAGACAATGACATCAGTTTGTGCTGAGGACAAACTGCCTGTCAGGAGCCACAAATGACAAAGCTAATCTATTTTGATCTTTAAAGACTAAAAAGCTATAAAAATACTGCACTGTACTGTACATTCTCACTAAAAGCATAAAGCTGACAATGGAGAGTGAGGAACGGCAAACCAAAGTTTAACTTGGACCTTGCACATGAAGGGATAAGTATCTGACTTGCACAAGCGGTGTAGCTGCACTGTGAACACTTTCAGCCAGGCAGGATTTGTTAAAGCATTTACTGCAAGCAATCCCCTCTGATCAGTCTTTTGCCACCTCAGGCACGGCTAACACCCCGTTCAGAGCCGTGGTCTAACCAGCATCCTGAGGTCCTTTCATGTCTGAAGCAGAACTACTACATCATTTAGACAAATACAATTAGGTGAGTTTCTCCATGACAAGCGTGATCACCAGCGACAGGTGTAATCAATCTACATCAGAGAGTTTCAGGGAGTATAAATCAATTCAAATGTGAGCAATATAGACGGCACTAATGGAGACAGACATGACTGGTTCAGGCAGGAGTAAACAATCAGGAGACGAGTTAATCAGGCTGTTGGACAGCAGTGTTTAAAATTCTGTATCAGCTAGCTGGGGCTGGACAGGCAGCCATGCAGAACAGAGTTATTGAGTGTGCGCGTTTGTGTGAGTGCATGTGTTTGTGTGAAGCATAAATTAGAGCTGGTTTGGTTGTACTGTGTTGGTGGGTGCATTAAATTGTTCGCATGCAAAAAGGGTCAGGTGAAATGGTTTACTGGAAACACTGTTATGGCTCACTGAGAACAGACGAGTGTCATGTGTTTGCGTGCAAGCCCTTGTACATGATCTTAATAGCAGAGTTCATCTTTTCACTCTATTAACTGTTCCTCCTCTCTGCTGCTGACCTGCCAGTCAATTACACCAGCCCTCTAATAGGTCAACATTATTCAGACTCATTTACATAAACATTTGAGGGTTAGATGGAAGGAGAGACCAAAAAGAAGGAAACAGACATAATAGGCTGAATATAAACAGAATAGAAATGCTACAATAATACAAACTTTGATGAGCTTATTTTAAAACTGCACTGAATTTACTGACCAGTTTGACTGGTAAAGTAACTTAGATACTGGCTTGAAGACTAAATGATGAAACATCACTGCTTTCTTACCATAATGAGCTGAAAGACCATTGGTAGGATCCTACTACGTTTGATCAACCTGAAAAGGAGAAGAAAAAGAGAATATACATTTTAGGTAGCAGCAGAAAAATCAGGGCAAGGAATTAATTTAATGTTTTAAATGTGCTGTTCAGGCATGCTGTTTGCACACTCTCACACAAGCAGATAAAATTGGCTATTTCATCTTCATTAAGGGTGGAGTTCTGGTACAATGACTTCCGTCTAGTACCAGTGGAATTGCGAGACGAAAAAGAGAAGAAGCGATGTGAGCAGATGAAGTAAAAGCAGGTGAGAGACAAGAGGGAAGGACATGGAAAAAGGTGATGAGAGTTTAAAGCAAGATAAGGTTAGAAAAGATTACATTTTGCAAAGTGGAGGAAAAAGAGGGAAGATTAGAGAAGAGGTGTGAGGTGGAGGAGGTGGAGGAACAAACGAATGAGAGGAAAATGGAAAATAAAAAGGAGTAATGTGGATAAATCCACACTGAAAAGCTTGGGGGGAAAAGGCAAGAGACACAGAAGAAGAAAGATGGAGGGAGGGAGATGGATGTTTATATTAACAATGACATTCTGTCTACTTCTTGATTGATCTTCTTTAAACCTCAATCAGTTACTGAGTGGGTGGAGTGTCTACATATATGCACGCACATTTTGTTTATGGGTCTTTGTGAATTAGTAAGCAAGAAAGCATTCAGGCAGTAAAGTGAACTAGCAAAAATCAGACAGGTGTTGATATTCTGACGGTAACAAAGCCTGCCCACTGATTTATAAATCTGTCCATGTTCTAACTATGATTTATAGGTTCTCCAGCAGGATCATTCAACCTATGGAAACGTGGATTTAAACTTAAAAAACTGCCCTTTTTTTAAAATTAGCAAACAAAATGTTCCACTTCATTACAAATATGGGACAGCATTTTATTGGTGTGCTGCTTCTAGAAACTGAAAACAATGGCTCATTAACTTGGAGGTATTTTCATTAAAACAAACAAACAAAAAAAGTCAGATGACTAAGTAAAAAGAACATCTGAACAGCAAAGAATACCAAATGATCATCTCAGGCTGTCCTCAGAGCTCAAGCGTCTTTTTTTTTTAACCACTTACACGCAATTTGTACTTATATACTGTCTTCTGTGAGTGTTTGTTCTTTTATGTTTCCTTGTTCCATCAGATACTGATGTCCTCTCACCTACCTTGTATACAAAGAGCCACAACAAAGCAAGCATGTTTCATGATGATAACATATTCTCTACACCACTGCACGTACTTCCTGGGCATCATGTAACTATTGTTTAAAAGTTAACTTTGTGGTTTTAGTTAGTAACATTAGATCCCTTTATGATTACATTGTTAGATTTACTTTGGTGAACTGAGATATTCTGATGGATGCTGTCATCAGCACCACAAAAGTATAAGCACAGTGTAACTTTATCTTTAGTTGCAGTCACTCAATCTCCATAATCTTTAATGAAGACAATCACTGACTACCGGTGCAGGGATCTTGAAGAAATGTGAATTTAAGGAACGTAATGAATTGCTGTTGTAGGTTCTCTTTACCTGCCATGGTGATGTATTTTAATGTACAGTTCAACCTTTTAGACATGTGTTAAAGTGTGTGTGTGCGTGCATTTGTTATTGTTTGGGTCTGATTGTTTGCTTGTAGATGTGATGGATGGCCTCCTATTAGAGAGGTGATAGGCTCAGAGATGAAAGGACAGGCCAGGCCAGCACAACATGATAAACTGGACCACCTTTAAACTACCAGCCATTCATCAGGACACAGGGCGCAACAGCATACAATGAACAGGGTTCAACAGACAACCTATAATAGGAAAACACAGACGAGACAATGCTGCACTGCATCATCATCACATCACACATTCACTCAACAGCTGTTTCATTAGAGGTAATGCAATAAATACCACAGTATGCACTTATTAACCTCAGCTCTACTCTAGTTTTATATACTTTATGTCAGCTACACAGCTTTGTAAAGCTAACAAAATTCAAAATGAAACCTTTTTGCACATAAAGAGATGATAAATACAACGAAGTAGATAGCTACAGTCAGGGGCTTATAATTAACAGCACTGACAAATTATCTGATACCATAATGTATTAGTACTTGCCTAGAGAGGAAAATTGCACTTTTTTCTAATAACTAACTTAAAAAAAGACATTTTTTCCCCATTTATTTACAGTGGAGAGTAAGACCAGTAAAACAGGCTGTTAGAGGCAATTACAGCGTTTTAGCCTGAGAAAATGGCCACTTTTGTGTTAACAGTTAATGAATCCACTTTACATAGAACAGAGAGATGTTGGTGTCCAATTAACTACTGCAATTTGATATAATGGATTTAGACTCATAGACTCTGAGTCTATGAGTCCATATTAAAAGGAAAGAACAGGCAGAAAACATGAGTTGTTTAAATATAAAATCTTATCAAAATAAAATCTATAAACAGCCAGTACTGTTAAACTATGACAATACTACCTCTTTACTTTCTTGATAGGTATGTGTGAAAATACCACATCGACACATATGGCATACAGGCATGCTGAAAAGATGCCTTAAAGGAAATTGAAAATCCATGGGCAAACACATATGTAACCACACAGCATGAGGTTCTCCGGCTAAAGGTCATAGTAAATGTAGTTGTTTGAAGGTGTGTCTGGACTGTGATAATGGAGAGAGAGACAGCAGGCTGCCTTCCCAACGTTAATGTCCCCAATTTACCATCTAATTACTGCTCGGCTGGCTTCATAGCCACACTTATCTAACCAAGACCCAGGCAATTTAATTTCTGATTGTATAACCGCAGTGATGGAGGGAAAGTTGTGGAGAAAGGGCACAGAGAAAAAGAAAAATGTGGACTAATGTTAATAAATTAGAGATGGTGAGAGAATGAGAGCGAGGGAGGCAGAGAAAAAAAATGTAAAATGTTGTTAATAATGTCAAAGGAAAAGAGTGAGCGCGAAAACAGATGTAGAGGAAAGAGTCCTGACACCAATTTGAAAAGTTCACGTCACTCTACTTGTGTCTACGAAAAAGGGGGATGAGGAGAGGTGGTGGAAGAGAAGGATGGAGACGAAATGGGGTAATATTACTGATAAGAGAAGTAGGGGCCTACTCAGCTGTGAGGACGAACTTTAAACTCTAGGAGTAGAGGAGGATGGGATGGATAGAGATGGAAGGTGACTGGCAGTGATTAGAGATTTGTTGAACTATTATTGCTGGAGAAGATAAAATGTGGAAAGAAGCTGGGATGGAAATGAGGAAACCACAAAACAGAGGCTTAATCATTGTTCCAAATTAATACTTAGTGATTAAAGATGAAGGATTAAATGTAAATCTCTGGATCAACTGCAGCATTTGACCAGGTACATGTCCATGTCCAATTTGTGTTCCACCAATATGAATGACTGAAAATACTGAAAATAGAGCATGCCTTACACAGAGTCAACTAAATCTAAAAATACTGAGAGTATTGTTGAAGTAACAACTACAGTTTACAACATAGTGTTCCTGAGCTGAAATGTGTATCTCATAGTGTAAACTGCACATAGTTTTACAGTTTTTCCCTGCTCTTTCCTCCAGTTATCTTCTGAGCCAGGTGACACACATCTAATTATACTTTCTAACCAATTAACACTTCTCCTTTATTCTCAACCCTTCTGGCCTCATCAACATTTTCTTTTCTCCCAAGATTCTCTTTCCTAGTTCCTCCTCCTATCCTTTTCCTGGCACCTTTATCCACTTCCCTTCCTCAATCTTTCTGCCTCCTCTCTTTTCACCCACACTTTCTATCCCTGCCAACAGCTGAGAAGAGAAGACAGATGACCAGAGAATCAAGACTTACTGACAGCTGCTGTCAAAGCACATCTATCAAACACACATACATCATCGTGCACACACATGTGTTTACGCACGCACGCATGCATGCACGCACACACACAACATGCACACACAAGTGAGTCATCTCATGGCTAGACAAGAAATCAGCAAATTTCCTGTGCAACAGCAACACATCATTACCACTTTTTATTTGGGTGTCAGATGACTGCTTTTCTGAGCGATGTTTTTTAAATTCCTGCATAGTGAATTACTTCCACATTATGCAGTAGTGAATCTCACTTCAACGCGAGCAATAATTTTGTCTTAGTGTCGTATATTTAAAGAACGTGTGTCGCATTTTTAAGCAAAGCTTCTCTGGACTAGCTAATGTGCCAAGGTATATCAGCACAACATGTCAAGTCTTTACACATCTCAGCTGATACAGCACCTTATGCCTGCCACTAAACTGATTACTAATGTAGAAAATGCCGCCTTTAAGGGTGCTCAAAGGGTGTCATTGAATGCAGATCACCAGCAGTGCTGGAGCTGTGAAGGTTTTGTTGCTATTAGCTCTGAATGTGCATCACCTACAACAAGCAAATAATCATTTGTGTATATCTGTGTTCTGGAGTTGGCAAATAAATTATTGCTTATAATACGGAGGAGTGTGTTTGTGTGTGTTTAAGACAGTGAACATTCATCTGTGTGTGTGTGTGTGTGTGTGTGTGTGTGTGTG